AAAAATGTAATGACTATTCAAAAGTGCTTCAATGTAAGTTTATTTGAATAAATGATTTTCTATTCTATTCTATTCTATTCTATAGTCTGTAAATTTTGAAATAATTCTCACCGCGCAGCACCATCAATTCTCGGCCTAAGCTTTCAATAGCATTACAGTATATGCGTATAACGACTGAGTAATTACATTTCAACGCTTTCAAGAAAGGGCTGCAAGCAAAAGGGAGTGAAAAAATAAGTGAGAATAAACATGACATGTACAAACAAGTCTCCTTGTAATATAAATAACTGAATTTATATTAAAGGGAGACTGTAATTTATTGCACAAATTTCAACACGCATCATCATTACATAGTATAAAACAAAGTCGCTGTCGCTGTCTGTCCGTCCCTATGTATGCTTAAATCTTTAAAACTACGCAACGGATTTTGAAGTGGTTTTATTTAACAGACAGAGTGATTCAATAGAAAGGTTTATATGTATAATACATTTACACCCTGGCGAAGCCGGGGCGAGTAGCTAGTTACATAGTATAAAACAAAGTCGCTGTCGCTGTCTGTCCGTCCCTATGTATGCTTAAATCTTTAAAACTACGCAATGGATTTTGAAGCGGTTTTTTTATAGATAGAGTGATTCAAGAGGAAAGTTTATTTCTATAATACATGTACACCCGTGCGAAGCCGGGGCGAGTAGCGAGTTATCATTATAAAAATCGGTCAAGTCCGAATTGAAGTTGTGCTTTGAAGGAGTTACTTAAACATGCAGTTCGGTTTTGTATGAATAAGGGTTGGTGCACCCGCCTGCGTTAACAGTTTACGCTGGCGAGGCACCAGTGGAGGATGATAAGTTGAGTATGAGGTCAGGTCAGTTAGCACATCAATACATAAATAGTAATATAATAGCTATTCAAAGAGGGAACGCTGCCAGTATCTTCGGAACGTTGCCTAAAGGGACTGAACAAATAGGTACCGTGAGGTCAAAAGCTGCCATTGAGGGTTCCAATTGAAATTACCATTCAATAGGGATGATAGGAATATCGGTCATTAAAACAAAACAAATCTTAAGAGCGCCATCTACATTTACCTGTGGTGCCATCTAGTTGGCACGGAGTGAACTAATATTACACATTTGGAACTATCTTAAACAGGGACCCCTTTTAATAATATATTTTAGTCATCATATTATATTTTTTTTAAATAGTAATTTCACATTGATCTGAAATATTAACAGTATTTTTGTTCATTACTCTATATCAACGTGGATTTAAAGCGTAAAAAATACTTAGTTTTTTTTTATAATATGGTACCAACGGGATTTTCATTCTCGCGCAAAATGATGTATAGACATTATAATCTTACAAAATGCATATATGTGAATATTTTGACAAAAAAAAAATGTATTTAAATACTAACTGTACTCGCGACTTCGTCCGCGTGGAATTTAACTTTATTTTTCTAAAACATAAGTATCTTAAGTTACTCTTTATTACATCAGCTACCTGCCAAAAAGTCACGTCAAAATCGGTCTAGCCATTTCAGAGATTAGCTGGAACAAATAGTCAGACAGACAGACAGACAAAAATTGTAGAAATAATATTTTGGTGTACGTACCGTATTTGTCATATGCATGTAGTAAAAAACGGTTATTTCAATATTATAAACAGACGCTCCAATTTTATTTATATGTATAGATTTGTATCAGTACCCACAATACAGTCTCTACTTAGTTTGGAACTAGATGGCGCTGTGTAAATTGTCTAATACCATTATTATTATCATTTAATTTGTTCTCGTACTTTCTCTATCCAGATTTATTACAAGGTATGCAGACAGAAGACGATTTATTGATATACAATTTTTAAATAAACGTGTCATTACGTTTCCTTAAAATAGAGAAGAGCAAATGAACTATATAGTAACCACGTCTCCATTGACTCATATACGATGTATTAGTATTCTGTAAGTATTTTGTTAACTCATTTAATAATAGTAATAATAATGTCTCAGGACAATTGCCACAGCGCCGACTAGATGTCCCAAGCTAAGCAGAGCTTGTGTTATGGGTACTAGACAACTGATATAAATACATGGATACATTTTTTTTGTAAATAACTACATATTATACATAGAAAACACCCAGACCGATACAAACAATCATAAGAATACAAATGTTTGTACCGTGCGAGGAATCGAACCCACGACCATCGGATAGTAAAGCGGTGTGCTAAACCACTAGACCACCGAGTCTGTCATTTCACACATCGCTCCACTCATGCTACTTGGTACTCACTATCACTTGTCAAATATAAAGTTCCCTCAGAGCTATAAAGTTTGTTTATATATCTAAAAAAAATCACTAGCGCCTGTCAGTAGAGTTATCGAGTTTGCCTATAATTTGAAAAACTCTTCACTAGCACCTCTTTTAGCTCAATTTCGGTCTCGAGCGTGTGGCGCTGCAGTCGCTATCAAGTTTTACAGAGAACCAATGTACCTCATACCGGATTCCGCTTTCGAATTCGTAAGTGATGCTTACAGAATAGCTCTGATTTGGAACTGAGCCGGGAATTTCCAATTAACTGGACTCGTTATGGAGTGTGACGTGACATCGCCACTGTTCACTGTTCACATACCGTTCCAGAACTGTTAGTCTCTTGAGGGCTCAATAAGTGCGCTCACTTCGTCAAAAGACACATAATTTTGTCGCTAGTTGTCTACAAACATCTTTTTGTTGTTTGGTCTAAGTTGTAAGAATGAAGAGGTCAAACTGTCAAATAAGAAACTTACCTAATGGTAAATATCAATATAAAGAAAAAGATGCAAAATATATACACATTTACATTAGTCAGTTAACAATATACAATATTAGTACAAATATCATATGAGTAAGGTAACACTAAGTTACTCATGCGTTGTTTATCATATGTTGTGTGCATCGCAAATATGCATAAAAATAACGTATTGGTAAAATTGTCTAAAGTACTTTTTTTTTCTATATAAATAAATTATCTTTATCTTTGGCTCTGACCTGTTTAAATGTTTAACTGTATTGTTTTTAAATAACCAATTTAAATATAACTTGAAGATAAATTTATGACGTATCTGTTATTGGCTTTACTAACTATGTAATACTATATATTGTCTATAAATTGTATAAGCTGTTGATTACCAAATATAAATAAAATAAAAATAGTATCGTGGAAAAGATATAATATAACAATATGTTTTATCACTATAAGCAATGTTCTACAGATAACCTAGTTATGGACTTAATTTCTAACAGATATTTATATAATTATACTGGCTATTAGATTAAGAAATAATTAGAAGTGTACTTATTCACACCCCGTGATGACCACAAAACAGCGAAACCAATGAATATTTGAGCCACCACCCACATTGACAATTTCAACTTCACTCGAGATCAAATCACGTTTAATATAATTTAGGAATCTTAACAAACGTGATTTGATCACGTGTCGAATCTCCTATATGTTCTTCCTATTTCAAGACTATTTGAATGCAATTGTATATTATTTCTAAAAGATGTTTTAAGTATTATTTATTCTAGACTAGTTGCTCCGCGCAATTTCGTCTGCGTCATATTTTCCCAGTTCTTGCAACATTTTTCATTCCAGCTCCACTCCTGTGGAACTTACCACATATAGCCTACGTGGCTTTCGATTGGTAATCAAATTTTCTAAATCAATTCAGTAAATTTAGCGATTACCCCCTTGCAACCTCTGTAATATTAGTCTATATCAATGCTGCTATGCGAACGCTTCTTTTCGGACTATTGTAATGGTATTGGTTGCAGTTGGCCTTTACAGCTTCGTCGACCGAAAATAAGCGAGTGTAGATGGCACTCCAAACCCGCGGAAGAACTTATAAAGCGGCTGGCTGGCTGACTTCTTTTTTTTACTTGTACAAAATCTATCCTGGAGCTCCGCCCGCTCCAGGTGAGGCAAGCGGGTCTTCCGTCGGAACCAACGCTTAACGCTTATTACTTATACCACACTCCAAACTCCAAATCGCCCCGGTTCGAAGTCATCAACATTTCAGCATAGGGCGGCTGCGCGCGCGCACCGTCACTTGATTTATACGCATTATGCTCTTGAAGTCATCTGCTCGGATATTTGTGTTTAAGTGGTTATTGTACGGATAAACAAATGCTTTACGACAATTACTCAAGTTCACACTTAATGTAGTTAACTACCCAATTATATCTCTCATTGCTTAGTTCAGAAACGCATTAAGGAAGAGATGTGTTCCTACTGGTATTACATTAACAAATATATTAAACTAAAGCTCCATTAAATAAGCTTTTGAAGTATTTTTGGTATCATTAATATACTTTGTAGTAACTTGTATATAATAAGATAATAATGTAATATAATCTAATGTATTCTAAATCAAATTATGCTGTCAAAATGCAGTCATATTGCAATAATTGATAATGTAATGTCGCCATAAAGATATAAGTCTCTGACATTAAATTAATTTTGGCTACATAAAAACTAATGTTTTAAGTTATTCAATCAAAAACATAGTAGACACTAAACTATAAAATAATAACTAATTTATTAAAAAAAAGTAAATTTATCAATTCCATTATACGAGTAGGTACGTGTTATTTTAAGTGATAACAGAGTTAAATCTGCTTTCCGATTTTGATAATCCTTTTTGCAATCATTAGCACTTTTTCCAGTTTTTTATATTTTCTAATTTTTTAACAACATTTATCGTCATTTCTTAGGCATGAAAAGAAAATAAACCTTTAAAAAAATATATAAAAGAATCCTAATCCAAAAATATATAAAAGAATATTACATATTGTCATATTAAGGAAAATAATTTAAAAGTTATTATAGATATTAAGATTTTTTTTATTTTACCTTCTAATTAAATGTCATTGCTTTCAATAAAAACTATCATAAATACCACAAAAATGAATAACAATTCCGAATAAAACAATTCTATATATACATTTACAATGCAAACTTACCTGTCAAAATAATTGCACAAGTTTTGACAGTACACACAACATTTTATGTATTCTCACAGCACTGCACAATACATAAAAGCACAATGATCGATTTCACAGCACTGAATCCGATTACAAAAATCGCACGTAACGATTTTCGATTCGACGTAAACAACGATTTATCGTTGCTGGGACGTGTTGGCGGGCGGCGCGTGGACGGTGGACTGGCGTGTGCGGGCGCACCGTTCCTACTTGCTATTGAACTTGGCAACGTGGTTCGCTGAAAAGCTTTTGACTATTCTGAATATTACTAACTACCCGCCGCGGCTTCGCACGGGTATATTTTTTTTTAATCCAGGACAATTAACACAGCGATTTCTAGTCCAACGGTCCCGAGCTTGTGTTATAAGTACTAGACAACTGATGTAAATACTTAGATTTTTTTTCTAAATATATAATGTGGATAGAAAACACCCAGATTGATAAAAGCAATCATAGTCATGAATACAAATGTTGCACCGTGCGAGAATTGAACCTGCGACGATCGGAAGTAAAGCGGTGAGCTTAACCGCTAGAATACCGAGGCCATCATAGTAAATAAATGTATTATACATACAAATCTTCTCCTTCAATCACTCTATCTATTGCTCAAAAACTGCATTAAAATCCGTTCTGTAGTTTAAAAGATCTAAGCAAATAGTCGGGGAGCGATGTTGATCCATATCTAATGTAAGCTAGAATCAAAATTTCTTGTATTGAGAATGTACAAAATAAATTTTGACAAATTGTCAAATTACATGTATCAATTAAGAAATTTCTCCTCCTAAAATTATATACATGGTCATTAAAAAAGGAAGAAAAAATACTATTGATTTCAAAAAGAATCATCGAAAGTGGTTAACTTTTGGAGAAGACAGCGATATCTATAAGTTTCATAGAGTCGATTGATAATCAATTGTATTGTATTTGTTGTTTTATAATTTAATTTGCTATTTAATCATTACATAGGTAAAGATACATATATTGCAACTGGGCTATAGGTATATATAGAATTAAATTACAATACATTTTAAATACATCATCCAAATAGGTTAATAATTATTTTTACCCAATATAAATACTATCATTTAACACAAAAAGTATTCAAGCAAATTTTAACTTGTGTGTTACTCTTTTAAGCAATCCTCGTAAGTTCACATTATACAATTCAAAACGTGTGAATACAAACTACCAATCACCACTAATTTATAAGGGTTAAATATACACAATAAGATTAAATCAGTCGTAGTGATAAGAGCAGACCAGTCCCTACTAGCGGCACTCGTTCGATTAAATGTGATAGTGTATTTAATTAAATTACTAAAACAACATTAATTATTTAAATAATATTTAAACAAGTTATAATTGAAATTTAACATTGAAATGTAAAACTGCAAACATAGTGTAGTTTAAGCGTGCATTGTTTTAGTATATTCGAGTACCTGTTGCAATTGTTATATTCAAGTACTCTATGGTTATACATTTCAAAATACAGTCTTAAATATAACCCTATAGAGTTTAAAATAGATCAGACATCGGACAAGGGGCATTTGAAATCATGGGTTCATTTGTGAGAGGATTTATTATTGTTCTTTCAACATGGTTTTGCTATGGATAATAGTTTTGTGTTGGTATTTTTTTTTTTCGGACTACTCTAATGCTATTGGCCGCAGCTGGCCTTTACAGCTTCACCGGACGTTAGGGGGCGAGTGCAGATGGCACTCCAAACCCGCGGAAGGACTTATGGAGCGGCTGAAGGCCAACTCCCGCCTGACGGATACGACTTTAGTCTGAGGGCACCGCTAGGGGTTCGAACCTCGGCTCAGGCCGTCGTAATATCGATCCCCGATTGAATTGGACGGGGGATCGATCGGAGGGGGTTGTGTTGGGAGTGATGTTTTGTACTTTTATAGAATAACAGATAACGCTGGTAATATTAAGATAGATCTACAGCCTAGATATGTATAGTATACACTATAAGTAACAATATAAAGAAGAAAGAAAACATATTTATTTAGTGCTTTTCAACAATATTAAAATTAAAAAAAAAATCAAACAGAAACAAAAGAATAATTGAAATAAATTGTATGTAATAAATATAATAATATCTCAAGACAATTCACACAGCGCCGTGATCATGAAATGCCCGTGATATAGCTATACGTTATCAATGTGGAAGATTCGAATATCGAGCATGCGTACTCTGTAATTATACTAAAAAACAATATATCTTTATTCAGGTCTATACAAACCCGTATGATATGTCAAATCTACCATCAGATCCTAGTGCTTTTGAGCTAAGAAGAGTTCTTACGAATCAAGGATCTGACGGTACACGGTCTGACGGACACTTAGATCTTATTCTTTTCAAATGAGTGTAACGGTTGTACTCGTATTATGAGTAGTTTATATCGAGTTTGTATACTGCCATATCTCATCCTGCAACCAAAACATGGCTTAGTGTAAGCTATCCAGATGAAAAAAAAGTAATACAATTGAGTTTCTTGCCAGTTCTTCTCAATTGGATCTATATACCGAACTGGACGGTAGGGAAAAAAATATATAATATAAAAACTTGACGTTCATAAGCGGCAAAAATGTCCTGCATGAATAAATAATTTTTTAATATTGAATTTTGAATTATGAAATTTCATTTTTGAATTTTGAATTTTGAGTTTTGAATTTTGAATTTTGAATATCTAAGACAGCAATGGTAAATTAAGTTTAGTTATATGTACATTTTATATGCTTTTTTTTTTGGTTGTTGTTTATATTGTATTTTTTACATTGCACTGAATAAAATATTTTTCTTTCTTTCTCTCTTTCAATGCCCAGATGACTTTGTAATACAATTTTTTACTGGGGGAAAGGGGATTGTTAGTAATGTGGACTTATATCCCCATTGCTAGCAATTTACCATGTTAGGTTGACCAAGTGGTTCCCCCTGGAAACCATCAAGATAAATTCCTGGTGAATTTGTTACGATGATGTAACTGGCTTGACTTCATGCTCATTTTATCATCCTCCACTGGTACCCCGCCAACGTAAACCGTTAGCCCAGGCGAAAAAATACAAAATTTAATTTAGTCACTATTATTATTATAACTAATTAGTTTTTTACTACTCGTTCCTGTTTTGGAATTGTTTAGTTTCTAAATTATAACAAACGCAACAATTGCTGAGTAGGATCTGCAAAACAAACGGTTGCTGAGTGTTTGTGTTAATTTCATAAATAACGATCACTGTACCCGCAACGAAGGTGGCGCCAGCGTCGCGCCAGTGGTTCTCAATCTGGGCTGTTGTCAGGCAAACAGCTCTTATAAAAGTATAAACTGTACTTAGAAAACAAAACGTTGTATTTAAAAAAACACTGGCCACAAATCAATTGGATCATGGTGTTTGCGATCGTAAATAGCCATTTAATATATTTAAAAACAAATTTGGAACGTCAGGCACAGAATATCGATGTTATGTTATATACATTTTGCACTTCTTCTCGAACATTCCGTGGCATCATTATTAAAATCAGCGTACAATCAACATAACAAATTAAACATTGCAATATTCCTCCAGCAACACAGCACATTGCAAATTCTTACCAGTAAATTCTTACTAGTCCTTACTTCCTTACTAATATTATAAATGCGAAAGTAACTCTGTCTGTCTGTCTGTCTCGCTTTCTCGCCAAAACTACTGAACCGATTTCAATAAAATTTCGTACATAGTCTAGAACCTGAAAAAGGACATAGGCTACTTTTTAATACGAAAAAAGAGTTGTAAGGGTTTGAAAGAGAAGATGAAAGGTTATATGGAAATATCAACATTTATATATACATTAGTAATATTTTAGAACTGTCTCAAATTTATTATTATGTATTGGATATTAATATAATATATATAAACCTATATTATGTACGTTTTATTTAATGATAATGGAATCGTGCACCCGTCTGCGCTGGCGGGACAGCAGTGGAGGATGATAAGATGAGCATGAAGCCAGGTCAGTTAGACTATCGTGACAAATTCACCAAGAATGGATCATATTGGTTACCAGGATGAAACGCCTTTTTTTTCGGACTACTCTAATGCTGTTGACCGTAGCTGTCCTTTACAGCTTCACCGGACGTTATGGAGTGAGTGCAGATGGCACTCCAAACCCGCGAAAGGACTTCTGGAGCGGCTGAAGGCCAACTCCTGTCTGACGGATACGACTTTGGTCTGAGGGCACCACTAGGGGTTCGAACCTCGGCTCAGGCCGTCGTAATTTCGATACCCGTTTGAATTGGACGGGGGATCGATCGAAGGGGGGGATGAAACGCGTGGTGGTTAACCTGGCATAGTACATTGTTAGCAATGGGATCCATATATTACTAACAATTTCGAACCATTAATTAAAAATGGTAAAGTCAATAATCATGTAACCTTAAACGGAACGTCAGAGGCCAGAGCCAAAGTAATCTGTGTGACATTGACAAGTAGATTGATGGATGATTGAACGTAGGCAGCGGGTGTTTTGGAGCGGAGAAGTTGGAGTGTTTATATTATTATAAAAACAAATAAGAGATAGGTAATTGTGAATATTGTAGGCATTGAGGTGTTCCTCTCCCTGACCAACCGGCATTACGTAAGTCGTCAGGATACTAGTGATTTTAATACAATAAATAACCACAATTGTTTCCAGGTACGAATTGGTCTGTTGCTAACAATATCGATCACGGTAAAAATATTAGAAACACTCTAATTTGGAAGTTGTCATCACTGTTTGAGAACCACCGTCCAACTTATTTTCTATACAAAATGTTGAGAGTCATTGAACTTCATTTTGCTAAATACAAAGTTGTTACAATATAAACAGAAGCTATTACTTAGTCACAAAATTACTGTGTTATTATAACTTATTCAACTGCCAAGTAACGTTTACTTGCATATACATTATACTATAGTGTCTCGCAAGTCGACATATAATGGTAAATAAACAGACGTACACTGTTAAATTATGAATTATCTAATTAGGTATATATATATATATATATATATATATATCTATACATATTAAGTACTAATAATTTCGTCCATTACTATGTCGAAATAATTTTAGATTATTTACATAACTTAATTGTACAACTAAGAACCTAAAATTAAAAAGCTTAAAAAATATAATATAGTAACTA